CCCCAAAACCCCAAAACCCCAAAACCCCAATCCCCAAAACCCCAAAACCCCAAAACCCCTATTTTGCCAAAATGAATAGAAAATATATTAATTAAAGATGAGCAAAAAGACTAAGAATCATGTGTTCAAGATAATCATCTTAGGAGACTCCGGAGTAGGCAAAACAACTGTAAAGTAAATATTTTATCCTTATAAGGTCATGCAGAGATACTTAAACAAGGAGAAAGCTAAACAGGTCTTTCGACCAACTATAGGCTGTGATTTTCATAACTATAAAACAGTGATAGGAGGTCAGAATGTAACTCTCCAAATTTGGGACACCGCTGGCCAAGAAAGATACCAGTCGTTGGGGAAGGCCTTCTATAGAGGCTCTGATTGATGCATTCTCGTCTATGATATCACTAGAGAAGAATCATTGCATAATTTAAATCAATGGGTAGATACATTTTCTAACAATGCTGGGATCGAGAAGTCATCTCCTGACAAAGATGCAACATTTCCTTTCTACCTAGTCGGCAATAAATGAGATTTAATAGAAGATAAAGAAGTAGACGACAAGCATATTGATGGGTTTCTTGATAAAAATCGTATAAGCTCTGATAGGTCTCACTTGACTAGTGCCGAAACAGGCACAGGAGTCGAAGAGGTATCTCAACTGCTTTAATTCATAGCTATTCAGACAATGATCAAGGGACCTCCTTGACCAAGTTGCAGGAACCTCGAAACTAAATGACAAGCTCAAAGAAGGAGTAAAGCTCGACAAGAGAAGCCTTGTGAGAAGGAAAACTAAAAGTGGATGATGCTAATTGATATTTTATAAGTTTCTTTTTGTTCATACCAAATAAGCAGCATTGTATTTCATTTCAAATAGCATTTTTCATTTTTAAGGGATCATTTTATCCATCGTGTTATGGGATAGTCACGAAAGAAGAAAAACTTATTTTAATGGAAAATAAAAGGCTCATAGCATTGCTCTAGCCAATAAAAATTTCTTCCAATTTGATAATAAGCTGAACTAATTCAACAGTGTGCATTCAGAAAGGGGTTTTGGGGTTTTGGGGTTTTGGGG